CTGTACAAGGGACCAAACATGTGCATAGATAACCCCCTGTGAGCTTTTGGGGAAGGGAAAAATAAAGAGGATGAGTTCCAGGGGAAAGCAAATAAAAGGCTGTTTAAAATTTTATTCAATTTGAAACCATTTGAGTGTTTCGTTTTATTCACCGGCTACCTCCTGCCTCTTCATATCAATCCATAAATATCTGGAATAGATGTCTTTTCAGTGTTTGTTGATTGGTTAAACTGTGGAAAGTGACTGACGTTTTCATCCCAGAGTGGTTATTATGAAGCAAGTTTGCTGTCTTAGCAAGGTTTCTCGAGGCTTACTTCCATTTTGAGTTATAGGAATTATTGCTCACTTTTAAACAAATATTCGTGACAGGCGATACCTCTGATTTTCTTTTCGATCCGATACAGGAATTTTTTTATCCCAGTGCTGATATTCGGTGCCAGTCCCTTGCCAAGGCAAGGACAGAAAATTTGCCAAAGGGAGGCGTGCTGATGACAAAGTTTGCAGAGTGGGTTGGGTATTACCTGTTGCAGGGCTACCCAAGCCTGCTCCTGAAGATCTCAGTATTAGACCCAGTGATGTTGAACCTAAGATGGCTCTAACACAGACGCCACTGAAGGGTCTGATTATCTATATCAGGTGTGTTAAATTGGGGCTGCACCTAAGCTCTGCAGGTGCAGGGTGGTAGATCTCCATGAGCAGGGTTGGGCAGCCCTGACCTATGGGCTCCTACCTATCAAAGGGCGGCATTAGCTTGCAATGCTGACACCGCCCCTTTTATGTGAACACGGATGGACCCTGAGTCAACTCATCGAGTTGATAAGAACTGGCTCTAGCTTGTTAACTGTAGGTATGTAGATCTCCCTTTGTTGTATACCTCACAGATTGGATCTGGTGTCAATGACAGTTTATTGTGTCTTGGGTTGTTCTGTTTTCCTAAGGATTCCCTCGTTTTGTTTTTATTGTCTGTTTCTGTAACCAGACACTCCCATTTTTATTGTCCATATGTAGATTGTCATCTACAGCTTGCGCATAGTGTTTACTTACGTTTTCTCAGTTGCTGTTGCTTGCTTATTTATTGATTTTATTTCTTTATTCTTGCCCATCCCACTCTCCCAGTATGTCTCGGCACTGACATGAAGCTACAGCTCCCATCCAGCCTGGAAAACCACTACAAAACACTGCAGCTGCTCTACACTGGTTGCCAGGTGGTGCATGGGAACCTGGAGATCACCCACCTGCACGGAGACCTGGACCTTAGCTTTCTGCAGGTTTGATTTCTGGCAGCTGTTGTCACCTTCGCTCTGCAGCACCCTGAGATGCTTCTTTTGTCTGCTTTTGTTTATATTTTTCCCTGTGCATTTTTCTGTATAACAAATTTTTGCTGCCTATCTTGTCTGTGAGTGCGTGTCAGTCTCTCTTCCTTTTACTTTTCCTTCTCTCTTCTGCGGTTTTAACATGGCCTCTGGGCACTCCCCCGCTTGCCCCATCTCCGCAGGGCATCGTGGAGGTGCAGGGTTATGTGCTGGTGGCCCACGTGTCGGTGAGTTCGGTGCCACTGGGCAGTCTGCGCATCATCCGCGGGAGCCAGCTCTACGAATCGCGATACGCTCTGGCTGTACTGGACAACAGCGGCCCTGGGGATTCTGGGCTGACGGAGCTGCTAATGAGGAGTCTGACGGGTGAGGCGGAGTGGGGGGGGTACGTTGGGGGTTAATGAGGAAGCTAGAGGAGGTAGACTTGCAAGAGTTATGCAGATGCATTTTGTGGATTTAATAGGTTGTGGGTAATGAGAGTGATGAAGAGGACAATTTGAAGAGGTCTAACACCTGTCAGTCTGTTTCCATGCGGGGTGATGATGTTCTCACAGTGCTGGTGACCCCTTCTGACGCCTTCTCTGTTCCTGTAGAGATCCTTCTTGGTGGGGTGTACATTTGGGGGAACCCTCACTTGTGCTTCCCCCAGCACATCAATTGGAGCGACACGCTGGATGAACAGAACCCGCAGAGCCACCTGCGACTGCAGGTGCAGTCATCCAACTGTAAGGAGCCGGTTCTGTCGTCGCATGTAAAACGGCATCAATGTCATGTTTTTACAAGCTTGTGAAAACAGTCACGCATCTGCACATGGTGAGACCCAGTGGCATCTTCTGCGTCTTCAGGTCTGAGCTGCTCCCCTGCGTGTGGGTCGCAGGGATGCTGGGGACAGACGGAGCAGGACTGTCAAACCTGTGAGTCACACAGAGCCCCTGTCTGCTCTCGTCTATAAGCTGGACGGCTCTGTCCCGTGTCAGACTGTCACTGATCTGGGTGATGCAACAGCTTATTGTAGAAGGTTGTGTGGGTGACATATCAGGACATATTACAAAGATCATGTTTTAAAAGACCCTCCACAGACATATCTCATAAAATTCAGTGGGTTTAAACATCTTGTGCTAAACAAATGTGAATGAAAACAGTTTAAGGAGGAGATTCATTGGCAAGGAAGTTTGTGTAGATGTTCATTGTTAGAAAGGGACAAAACTTGACGAACAGCTGGTTCTTCTCTGTGCAGTGACCCGTCTGCTGTGCACCTCTGGCTGCATGCGCTGTAAGGGCACGCGCCACAATGACTGCTGCCACAAGCAGTGTGCGGCGGGCTGCACTGGGCCCAAGGACACAGACTGCTTGGTGAGGCTAACCGACGTAGCTTTCGATTATCCAAACAAAGCTATAATCTCACAAACCCCAGAAATCATGTGACGTGCTGCTACATCAGTGCTATGAAGTTTCAGAGACATTTCACAGCAGTATAATGAAACATTTAACATAGTCCTTACTGCTCTCCTTAATTCTTTGTGAATAATCTTTTTAAAAGGTTTGCTGTGATAGTGCAGTATCTGTTTCATTGTTTGAGAGCAGTCATGATTGCTTTAAAACCAAATGCCTTGAAATCCCCAGTGAGTGATGTGCATCTTTAAAGCCGCCTCTCATCCCACAGGCTTGTCGACACTTTAATGACAGTGGATTGTGTAAAGATGGGTGTCCACCGGCCAACATCTACGAGTCGTCAACTTTCCTGCTCAAGCCCAACAAAGACAAAAAATTCAGCTTTGGTGCCACCTGTGTGAAAGAGTGTCCTCGTACGTTTGGGGGGGCCCTGCTCCTCTCACCTTCACCCATTTGTGATTTTATCCATCTGTCCATCCCATGTTCCAAACGCTTATCCAGTACAAGTAGTGTGGAATTTGGAGCACAAGGCAGCAAGGCACCCTGGTTGGGATGCCAGTCCACTGCAGGACACAAAATTAAACATAATCATCATGCATTATGGCTTCTCCAAAATCTCTTGACGACACCACAGTCTCAGCTATGATCTCTGCATGCCTGGCTGGTATCGCAGCCTGGATGAAGGACCTTCACCTCCAGTTTAATAAACAGATCAAGCCTTTTCTGTCTGATGTTCATTCAGCCTAAATATTCTCATGTCACACTCCAGCTTGTCTCTCTTCACTGGGACTGTCTCTATTTATTGGCACGCCCATCCAGTTTAAGTCCTTGATGCTGGCTTCCAGGTTCATTAATGGACCGGCACCAATCTCCATCAAAAGCCTCCTCAAGACCTATGTCCCATCTTGCCCCCTTCAGTCAGCAAACCAGTGCCGCTTTGTGCTCCCTCCACCACGAGAGAAGTGTCACTCCAGACAGTTGTCTTGTGTTGTTCCCCGGTGGTGGAATGAGCTGCTCAACCACATCTGACATCAGCCTTCCTCTCTACTTTTAAGAGATTTTAAGACACATCTGCTCCTCAGTTTCTCTGCCTTTGTGACAGGCAATGCATTTTTACATTCTTTTAATGTTCTCATGTTGCACTTCTGGTCCTTGAACAGCTTTATTAGGTTCTTGTTAGAAATTGTTGTGTAGCTCCTGCTCCAGTACTGCACTTGCACTTGTACCTGGGCATATAATGGAATCTCAGCCTAGCTGCACTTATGCCTCGCCAACTCCGTGACAGCATGAATTTTTGCAGTGTGCTATTTACCACGCTTGTTCATCGCTTTAGACAAAACCATCTACTAATTATGTAAATGTAAATTTAGATATGCTAATTAGTTCATCACATCCACACACACACACACACACACACACACACACAATAATACCCTGTGGGTAATTTAGATATCCCACTTAGCCTAACTGCATATCATTGGAATGTTGGAGGAAACCCACACAACATAGAAGAGTATACTCTACACCAGGGGTCACCAACCTATACTGTGTCTGACATCAGTATAACAGTATAGGCCAGGGGTCACCAACATGGTGCCCGCGGGCACCAGGATGCCCCCAATGACCACATGAGTCGCCCACGGACCTGTTCTAAAAATAGCACAACTCACCAGTGAGCAGCGTCTAAAATTTAATTTTATCCTGTTGCTATTCTTCTTAAATCACATTTGCATTTATATAGATTTGAAAATGGCAATATCTAAAAAAAAAAAAAAGCATTTAAAACATTTATTATACATGAAGTTTAGATAAGCTTAGAATCTTGGGCGTTTCAAACTGGTAGCCCTTCGTATGGCTCAGTACCCGTGAAGTAGCTCTCAGTTTCAAAAAGGTTGGTGACCCCTGTCCTACACACAGAACACGGGCTGCAATTCACACGCCGAATCTGTATGTGTGAGTCAATGGTGGTCCCCAGTGAGCCCTCTGTGACTTAATATGCATATTTATTTCTCTGACCCTTATGGCTGGGCTTTTACAAACCTCATTTTGGGATGGGCACCATCCATGAAGGTGCAACAGCCACTCTGCTTCTCAGATTTAAACCTGAAGCAGTGGCCATTTGCTGTGTGTCTTTTGTAACTAAGCCACTCCTTACGTTTTTTCAAACACAGCTCCTCCCTTATGGTTCCCCATTTACCCTGCTAAATGCCCCTCCCCCATCTCCATGCAGGAAACTTCCTGGCCATGGAGGTGGCCTGCACCATGATGTGCCCAAAAGCCAACCAGGAAGTCATCACCAGCCTGCCTGATGGCAGTGAGGTGCAGAAGTGTGAGAAGTGTGATGACGACTGTCCCCAAGGTTGGGCTCCGCTTAACCGCTTAACCCCTACTTCACCATCTCCGGTGTGACTGTGGCTCTTTTCAACATGGCTCCCCATCACCGAAATAGTGCAGTACAGAGCACATCCGCCATTTTGCAGTGCTTTGAGTTCTCAATGGCATATCGGTCTCACTGTGTAGTACACTGTGAAATACCAAAAATGCATTGCAAATTGTATTATAGAGATGTACACTAGCATACTCCCTGTATACCATGATGCAATGTGAAGGTGGCGTCTTTTGTCAACTCATTCATAATACAAACTTGGGCAAATTTGTATATAAACATTAGCACTTTTTTTTTTAAAGTCACAGAATGATACTGTAGATCTCTGCAAAAACCGAAGTTGACATTTCAGTTTTAAATTGTAATAATCATAATAAAAATCCATCCATCTATCTGCCACTTATCGAAGGTCGGGTTGCGTGGGCAGCAGTCTGAGCAGGGATGCCCAGATCTCCCTCTCACCAGCCAGCTCCTCCGGGGCATACTATCTCTCCAGCGTGTCCTGGGTCTGCCCCGGGGCCTCCTCCGGGCTGGACATGCCCGAAACACCTCCCCAGGGAGCCGTCCAGGAGGCATCCTAGATAGATGCCTGAACAACCTTAACTGCCTCCTTTTAATGTGGAGGAGCAGCAGCTCTACTTTAAGTTTCTCCCAAATGCCTGAACTCCTCACCGTATCTCTAAGGCTGAGCCCAGACACCCTGTGGAACAAACTCATTGTGGGGTTCGGGGTTCAGTGTAGATCGGGTGGCAGTCAAAGGCAGGGGTCTTGGCAGACCATTCGTCAGCGACCATAATAAAAATTAAAAATAAGTATAAGTAAGTCACAGGTTCACATCCATATTTATCTCCTTTGTTCTGTTTATGTCATTCTTGTATTTTGCTGTTTCTGTTTGCAACATGTCTTAGAAGCCATTGTCTTGTTTCATTGAGTAATTCCCCGTCTTGTAAATCTGCGTAGATTTCCCTGTATAGGGAGCAGTGAGTGAGTGAACCATTTCGAATGCAACCCATGTCTCAGCCTGTCCTCCTTTCCCATGATCCCCCAGTGTGCTACGGCTTGGGGATGGACAGCCTGCAGGGAGTCCTGGCCATCAACTCGTCCAACATCGGCCTCTTCGCTGGCTGCAAGAAAATCTTTGGTAGTCTGGCCTTCCTGCCACAGACCTTCACTGGGTAGAGTCTCCAAAAATACTGTCCTTAATCATTTCATACAAAATGACGTGAAAAGGTCTTGTACAGTATAGGTTTGAGTTTTGGGTCACATACATTTTAAACACATTCTTTCAGGAGTCATCAAAATTTATCTGCCACTTAAAAAGTGATGATATGAATGTGTCCAGTGTTGGGAAGATTACTTTGGAAATGTAATTCGTTACAATTACAAGTTACTCTATTTAAAATGTAATAGTGGTGTAACTATTTCAATTACTATATGAAACTAATGTAAATAATTACATTTGATTACTTTTTGATTACTTTTCTAAATTATGATTGAATATTCTCAACCATTAACCATTTTGAAATTTTGTAACCTGGTAGTGTTTACCTTACAGCAGTACTAAACACTGACTACTGTCAAACTCCTTTCAATACATGAATTAATATGATTATAATTGATCAATTTAATAAAGATACAAAAGATACCATACATACCATATAGGCCTAATAATTATTTTAAACAACGGGTAAGTTCATATTGATCCTCGCTTCATACTCAGTGAAAACCCAGATTCCCTCAGTGTAACAAGTCATAACATTAATGCTACATAAAATATACATAAAATGTCAAAAAAAATTGTTAAAACTCAGCCTTCAGTTATTAAATTCTAATGTGTGTTCATAATATAAACTTCTTGGGAGTCAAAACAAGACAAACTACGAGTGATTTGACCACTCCGTGACTCTTCAGGATTACATTATGATACAAACTTTTTATATACTTGTAAAAATAAATGGTTCCATCTTACTTCTTATCTGAACAGTTCTTGCATCAGACAGGATATGAAATTTCAGCTGATTGTGTAATCACTTACTCTAAGTCATTTTTCAATCACAAATCACAGAGTAGCCTAAAACAGTGTCTTCATAGCACTGTAAAATAAAATGGGTTAGCAGAGTGGTAAGGCTGCATCGCCCAGGGGTTAGCTAGTTAGTGAATTTTCAAAACTCAATACGACATAGCATGTCGGGAGTGCTAATACAGACTTAACATAAATTACCAATAACCTTAGCATACTGAAGGACGGCACATTTTCTGTCAACGGGATCAGAAGTGCCAGTGTGGCTTTAAAGCACGGTACTCACTTCGCGATTCATTGTGGTGTTTACGCATGCTGTCAGTGTTTACATTTTGTTTTGTTGTCCTATGCGCCGTATCTTTTGATTGAGTTGGTGTTGTCGTCATACAGTCTGCATACCTGTCATAGCCAAGATTATTAGATCCGTATCGCACAGTGTGATCAGTAATGATTATATAAGATTGCTGAAATCACACAGTGTGTACCGGGCATTACACCTTTAGAAGCATGGTGTGGCACACTGAAGGTAGTGCAGTTACAGTAAGCTGCACTTACCTCTAGATGTTTCCTTAGGTTGGTCATGGCAAGTTAATTAGCAGAATTAGCTGCAATTGTAGACGTGACAGGATAGCCAATTAGAAGCATCGAATAGTTTCAAACTTTCGGCTGTGGAGGGAAATAGCAAAGGAGGATGTTTTGCATAAGAAAAACATGAAAAACAATAAAAATACTGTTATTAAATATATTAGCAAGGTTTTGCATACAATCTTATGATGAAACTAAAATTGTAATGAATATGAATATTTCCATAAGTAACTGTAATTTAATTTCACTTTTTTTCTCTAGTAACTGTAACGGATTACAATTACTTTTTTTTTTGTAATTAAATTATGTAACGCCGTTACATGTAGTTGCATGGTTACTCCCCAATACTGAATGTGTCCATGGTATGAAAACAGTGTGGCTCTTTTTTTATACTAATAGTGTTTTAAGACTGATTGAATATTACTGCTGGCATGTATATTGTACAGCTTTCAGCAGGCAGTTTTGAGCAAGCTAAAGGCATAAAGAAAACTACAGTACTAACTATAATTTGTAATATGTGAGGTATGATTAAAAATAATCTTTAAATGAATGAAACACCAGTAGCTATGCCTTTACATAAAATGGAAGAATATTTGTGCACGCAACCAAAAAGAGCAACACTGACCCGAACACCAAAAGCTGATTAGAAGTGTGAGACGCTTTAGATGAGGTTGATAATGATACGGCAGACAGATGAGATAACGGGAATGTTGCCCTGTGCTTTAAATTTAAGTAGCCATCTACTGTATCAAGTAAAACCTGGCAGCTTTTGCAGTCGTCTTAAGACTAGCAGTGAAATTTGAATAGGCTGTTTTTTTTTGGTTTGCTCCCCCCAGCATATGAGTAGAGTAGCCCAGACCTCCCCTGACATGTGAGCTGTTTGCCGCGCGCCGCTTGTTGCTCTGTGGCCTTGGGCACACTTAAAGGAAGGCGCCATTCACTTGAGCCCCCCTCTGCCTGCTGTGGGTCCAGCTGACCGTGGCCTTCACTGTATAGCACTGACAGGGCAATGAGCCCAGCTGCCACACCCACCTGACTGGATGCGAGATAATCCGCATTTCCTGGGCTTCCCAGCTAACACGGCTTGTTTGGCATTGCAGACACAAGACACAGTAATCTGTGACTAAGCTCTTAGGCTGCTAGTGAGTTTCTGAGGCAGACTGAGTGTGGGCTGAGTACTCCCATCGCTAACTGCCTTTCTCTTTTCCAAACACACAACAAGGATTTTGTTTCTTTTATTGCTAAAGAGATCCTATGACCAACACCTCAGCCCTGGACCCCAGGCAGCTCGACGTGTTCAGAAGCCTGCAGGAAATAACAGGTACTTCACAGCACAG